TATATATATACAGATAGATACAACACTACTGCCGTACATGAACAACTCAAACGCTAACCCTTTTATTTTAAGTTTATTAAGATCTATTATTTGGCATTTAGGAAATGTCCTCACTCTGAAGCATATACTAAAAGTTATGGAAAGCCACTTACTGCTCTAATACCTTTATTCTCTAGTGATTTAAAAAGAAAGAGGAACAAAATCCAGGTCATGTGTCATTGTGGCAGGTCTTTACAACTTCATAACATGCCACCAGAGTCAACAACCTCTGATTAATGTTAGAAAGCTTTTATGCCTAGCTCTCTGACAACAAACACAGATTATTATATTCCTGTGCGAGGCTTCCTAATTGCTCATGCCGAGGTGTCTGTTAAGATAAATGGGCCTTGCGGGTATGGAGCTTCACCATAAATTGCAAAAGAAAAATAAGACAAGGTAGGCAGGAATGAAAAAGTAACAGCTTTGTATGGATTTGTAGACAGTAAATTTCTTGAACATATGCCACATGAGGGCTGAAGACTAATGAGAAACTAGTGTGTCCAGGAAGTAGAGGGACATGAGCATGATATACAGAGAGCTGGAACACCTTGTAAAGGACTATCGCTTTTGCAGATTTCTTAACCAGTGCTTTATATTATCATGTGATTCATTTGTTTGGGAGGTTTTTGCACTTAACAGAAATGATCCAGAAACAAATGTTTAAGACACCTGGAGTGCCTCGTAAAAATACTCCCACTTTCCAACTCTTATTTTGTCATAGAGAAACCATTAACTTCAGTGTTTTTAATTTAGATTTTTTATGACATCTTAAACCACATATACATGTGTATTTAACCTATCCTCACCTCTAAATATAACAACTAAAGTCCAGGTCTGTTCAGATTTCCTGTTCTAAGAGTACACATCCCATATGTGTTTACTTTAAGTTTATGTTTATTAATTTACAGTAGCAGATACTTTTTATTTCAAAGGGAATTACAAAGAAGATACAATTTTAGAGTTATCATTAGTATGACAGTAAGTTCTCAAGAGGGATCTCCCCAGTCACAATTAATGTTGACAGCAAAGAGAGAGAGAGCGAAGTGAAGAAAAAGTGTCAGAGGGGTACAGAGGTATGGGTAAGAGATGCTCTTTGAAGGGATTTGTTTGTAAAAGTTTCCTAAAGATAGAATGGAACACTGCTGTTCTTCACTTGGTAGGTCATTCCACCATCTTCAAACAACCCATGAAAACAATCTGGATTGTCTTTAGCGTGGTGTAGGCTCTGCTAGACAACAATCCATTGATAACCATAGTGGCCAAGCTGTGACATAAGCATTTGCAAGAGGATTCAAGTAGACGGTATCTTTGTGCAAATCTCATTTAAGGCCTCAAAAGTTTTGGTAGAAAACATCAGAGAGCATATAAGATCATAAAAGCTAACAATAACATCAGGCAGATCAGAGATAATACTATGGCACAATTGCAAATCTAAGATATGGCAAGCCAGGCAATCATAATGTTAGATACTTGAGGTTTTTGCAGCTACAAAATGCTTGAAAACAAATTATCAAATATTTTGTTGTTTATTTTGGTTTTTTCAATCTTTAAGGATTCAAAAAGGGAAAAAAATATTAAATAGAACCTAACTTAAAAATGTTTCATATTAGATTGAAAATGGCCTAAACTAGCACTCTATCAAGTGCAAGAACCCTGAAGTCATTTACACTACATTCAGTCTTCACCTATTCATACACTCATACCAACAATGGTCAGCCATATTGTAGCCATAGTTGCCCTAAGGCACAATGACAGAAGCAAGGCTGTTACACTGTTAGTATCACTGCTCTAAAACCACCAACAGCATTACTTTTTAAGTTATGAAACCAAAGCATCTCAACTAATCAAAGTCACAAAAGGCTTGCAAAAAACTGAGGGCAATGGGAAAAAGATGGGAAAGCTGCTTCGTTTGTCTGTAGGTTAATACTCACAATAGGTTAAAGATGAGCTTACTGATGCCTCCTTGCATCATGGAGGAAAAGACCAGCTTTGATAGTTCAGTAATCAGACAAAAAGACGTGTGCCTATTGCTGGAGTGGGGTTACAGAGATTCACAGCTCTGGTGAACACATTTCTTGTCGTAATCATTAGTCATACTTTCCAAAAATCTGGCTTTAATGAAAGAGTGACAAAAAGAAACAAATTCATGTGAGATTCTGTGCAACCGATGGTGAAAAATGCCAATTTTAACCCAACAGACAATGGTATGACAAAAAATTAACAATACATCAGGGGTCTTTAATTGCAGCCACAAGTTGTCTGGCACCATTTATTCGTATCTCTGCTGCTACAGTACGTAGGTATGTGGCAGCAGAGACACAAACAAATGGCTGAATTACCCCCTTAGTTTGAAGTCATGCTTCAATCCTGACATGATTATTTAACTCACATGTGTTGAAACAGAGTTATCTAAAAGGTGCAGGACAACAGGATCTTAATGACTGGAACCGAACAACCATGCTCTAAAGTACATGCATGTTAACACATCTTTGGGGGGGGGTTTCTCAGTAGGGACAAGGTAACTTGTCTGAGATAGATAGAATTAAATACATGAAGAAAAGCAATGTACACAGACAAAAATGTTAATCTCCCTGAAATACAACAACCCTTAAAGTACAGCCAGGACAATGATTTAGAACAAGTTTGTTAGTGTTTGAATAGTCCAGTTAAAAAAAGGATATAAAAAGCAACTTAGAATGTGATAAAGAAAACTGGAAATGGATGCATATAAAGATTCTAATTCCAATCTCACTAAGCTTGAGCTATTTTATAAAATGGCAACCATTTCAGTCTTGATCTACTAAGCTGATTGAGCAGCAATAATAGCAGAAAAAGGTAATTCTCCAAAGTGTTGACTCAAAAGAAATTAATAAAAATCTATGCCACAATTTTTTTATCAGCAAAAATTGAAAATATAATTCAATTTTGGAATAACACTCTGCACTTGTTTTTTTGAGAGTATAAAATACAACAAGGTTTGTATTTGTAATGTGACAAAATGTACAAAAGCCATAAGAGAATGAATACTATTACAAGGCATTGTAAAACAAGTTTCTTAGGCAATTTATTTCCTTCTTATTTAGGTCCACCATGCTCCCCGCTAACCTCCTGCTCCTCATGGTCTTGCTGCTACCTCAAGCCTCATCGGGTCGCCAGAGTGGAGATTCCAATGGGACTGACAATGGCAGGGTGCCCCCTACTCCTTCCTCCCCTTCCTCCACAACAGCACTGCCTGATCCTGGGCTGGCTGAGACCATCCAGTCTCTCCTCCTGAACCGGCTGGGTCTGCAATCCCAGCCGAACCCCAGGCCTGGGGTGTCAGTGCCACAGTACCTCCTTGATCTTTATCGCTTCCACCAGCAGCAGTACCATCTAGTGGACGACCCATTGTTTAGCTTTCCCAGCCATCACATTCAGAAAGCTAACACTATTCGCAGCTTTCACCACAATGGTAAGCAATTCCTTAACTGTCTTAAACGTGGATTTTCAATTTCAAAATCAGGTGTAACTCCTTTTTACCCAGTTTTTTATCGTGCATGTTTTCCTTAGCCCAGAATTTCTGGTCTATTCTTTGTTTATTGTATAACCTTGAAGTATTAGAAAATTTAAAAAATTATTCCAAGAGGACATTGACAGCTCATTGAAGAGGTCACATAGATACCAAGATAACAGCTAGAGCTCTGAAAAGATAACTCTGTTAAGGTCAGTTTTCATAATTCAACAAGAAAAAGACTCGGCCGAAATGGCATCATTGACGAAAATTTTAATTGGGAAACCACTGTGTAAGCAAAGCCAAAATCAAGCGAGTAAAATAAGAAGCTCAAAGATTAATATGGCAGTTATGTTAGCATGTCAGGTCAAATATTATGTTTTTCTGTACGAAACTGTCCATGTAGTTAAAATTTTCTATTGTTGCAAGATGAAGAAAATCAGGCGTGTCTTTACCTGGCATGTTTGCTAAAATCATGCAAATTTTCTTCACAGTTATTGTGGACACATCAACCTTAAAACAGGCTTTGGGCTTTTCAGTTGGTGTTCTAGCTTTGACTTTGGTGAATGATATGCACACTCAATTGAAAAGGATGAAAACTTGAGAGTTTTCCATTGCTAACATTATAATCAACAATACAAACAACCACTGTATGTAGAAAGAATGTTTAAAAGGGATTTAAAAAAAGGGAAATAAAACTATGATATAAGTGATATCTAGAAGTGATCAAAAACATCCCATTTTTTAATAAAGAAAAGAGAAAAGTCCTTCATTGTCTATATCCTCAATTCAGTTACTGTCAGAATATCAACCAGCTCCTTTGTTACTTTGTAGTCATTCCAAAAAAGTTTTTTTTTTTTTAAAACAATCAACTAGACTTTTTTTTCCAAGTTTAAAGACGTTTCACTTCCCATCCAGGATGCTTTTTTTAATTTAAAATGTTAAAAATAGTGTTGAGTTCGAGGCTTCATAGAGTAGACCAACAAGAGTCCCTCAAACTCAGCTCTATTTTTGAAAATTTAAATTGAAAAAGCTTCCTGAATGGGTAGCGAAACGTCTTCAAACTGGGAAACAAAGTCCAGTGGGCCGACTTTTTTTGAATACTGGACAAACTAAATAACCCAGGTGTGTCTGGCCATTCTTGTCATGGTTACTTGAAGAAACAATATTCCTTATCAGTACTAAAAAGAGGACAGTTTGCTTGCATTGCTGGTGACATCAACATTTCCAATGTCACCAAGAACACCTGCAAGCTTCTGAGCTTACGATTTCTTTAAAAGAAGTAACCATGTATGTGGTATTACCCTTGTGGATGGGAAATACCAGTCCTTGTGAACTTGACCCCTGCATGGTCCTTGTATGAACGCACTTCATTAAACTTACGGCCTAATTTGTAGGTAGTCTGAGGAGATTTTGCCTGATTTAAATCACTTGTTGGATCAAACACACTTTCCTGCAAGGACTGGAGTTGTCCACTTCATGAATATAGTTAAAAGACCAGTGATGTGAGTCGTGACCAGTCCCTAAGCATGAATGTCCTATTTCTTTTTAAAATTATGTTGCTCCAGCACAGCTATTTAAAGTGGTTATATTTCAAAATCTCACAAAGATCTTCTGAGGCCTGCAAAAAGACAAATACATGAATATAGAAGCATTTAAAACACTCAAGACAAAAATTATTCAAAGGCTCCAAGTTTTTTTTTATCACATATTTAAATGAAAATAATATATTTTTAGGTCTGAGTTTATTAGTTTGCTGCCTCACTCTGTGATCCTCTGGTCTAACATATAAAACCAGTGAAATGTTTACAAGGTTATAGGTTTTTATTTTTACTAGGGTTGCAGTTTAAAATGCTTAGTAATGCTTATCACAGTACACAGTTAAATTCAAGTGCAGAAATTTCTATTTTCATTATATTTCATAGTCCTTATGTGATACTAATAACCTTTTCTTTGTTTGCTTAGGATAAACATCAGGGAAAAGAACTTGCATGCTAACTTTCTTAGGTAATTAGAAGCTTGCATAGTGGACATTCAGTGTTTAATTGCAAGCATTGACTAGTGTTTTTTTTTTACTCAGTTTATGAAAATAAGGGTTTTGTTTACTTCTTAGCTGGTGTCCCAGCAGAACTTGGAAAGGGTTACTAGATGATAACAAAATACCTGTCATTCTTGATTACATCTTATAAAAAGTATTTATCTTTTTTGTTTAAAAGAGTATCTTATGCTGCTGTTGATGAAATTAACACGGCCTATATTTTCATAATGTAATTTATTAGTTTTTTTGTGAGGTAATTACACTAAGCTTATTTCTTCCCTTGTTTTGTTTTTTTCCTCACAGAGCCCCTTGAAGACAGTATAAAAGCAAACAATCAGACACACGTGCATATCTCCTTCAATATCTCCTCTATACCTCAAGATGAAAAGGTTCTCTCTGCTGAGCTCCGCCTACTTCGCAGTGACCCTGGCTTTCTTGGCTCTGGACCCCACAGATTAAACCTTTACCTCTCTAAACACCATGAAGATCCTGAGCCCACTTTGCTTGAAACAAGGTTACTCACTAATGGCCCCCGTAGCCATAAAGGTGGGGGTTTGTGGGAGGCATTTAGCCTTAATGCAGAGCTCCTGCATAAAGCCCAAGGTGGAACTGGCAGCTTGGGCTTCCTGTTGGAAGTCAAACCTGATAACAGTACCACCTCACCTGATCAGAGTTACTCCTCTGCTGCAGGTGATGATCAGGCAGAGCAGCACAAAGATAGACACCTGAGGGTGTGCAGGTCTGTGGGGCAGGACGATCACACCTGGGCCCAGGAGAGACCCCTCTTGGTGACCTACAGTCATGATGGTCATGGAGAGCCTTTAGTCAAACATGGCAGAAGAACATCTGGTAGTAGCAAGTGGATTAAGTCTAGAAAAGGGTCAAACAAGAAGACCAAAAGAAGCGGGAAAGTCCATAATTGGGACCAAGGCTTGGGAAAGGCCCGGAAAAATGGTAATACTTTGAAGAGCTGGGGGGATGATAAAGGAGGAGTGAGCTGGAATGATCGTGGAAGGGTGAAAAGAAATGGCGGTCCATCTAAACTGAAGCGGCTTTCCAGAGGCAGGTGCCGGCGTCATCCTTTATATGTAGATTTTAGTGATGTGGGCTGGCATAAGTGGATCATTGCGCCCAGTGGCTATGATGCCTTCTTCTGCTTAGGAGAGTGCCGTTACCCTCTGGCTGATCACATGAATGCCTCCAGCCATGCTGTAGTCCAAACCATGGTGAACTCTGTAAATGGAGCAGTTCCTAGGGCCTGCTGCGTCCCAACATCCCTCAGCCCCATTGCCCTGCTCTACCTGGACAATGCTGATAGAGTCGTGCTGAAGAATTACCAAGACATGGTAGTGGAGAGCTGCGGCTGCTGGTAGAAGGGTCTGGAAGGCTTGGACACAGTGACACTGACAGTGGACCATTAAGGAAGCAAAGAGGAGATTAAGAGAATCAAATGGATGGAAGACAGCCAGAAAACTGCAAACAGACAGAGACTGAAAGAAAAGTAGCAATTGGAAATGTAAGCAGAGAGGGTGGAGATGATGGGATAGAGCAGCTAACTTATTATTAGAACTAAGAGTTTTGATGGAAAGAAAGAGTTTAAAGTATAAGAAAATTGGAAACAAAGAACATGCGACATGCGGATAACAGATAAGCGGACATATTGATGAAAGAAATAAACTGCCAGGAGTGACTCTATTTATCATTTTGCAATCTTGCAGCAGTTTACATTATTCACTGCCGGTCTACTAGTCCCACTGTGAGAGGCCAATGTTTTAACATCAAATGCTTTGACAACAGGTGCCATTAACAATTGCAAGTCAGAAAACGCAGGTAAAAGGAGGCAGACAAACTTATAAACAGTAGAAGGAGCAGATATGAGGACTAATGAAAAAACAGTGACTTCAGACCTGACTCAGACTCTCTCTCTCTAAAGCCTTTAGACTCAACTCGAACCCAAGATCTTGGACTTAAGACTAATGAAAAATTCTAATTTAATGTTTTCCTGGGCAAAAATATGAATGTAAATGTTGACCAAACTTAGCCATATGGGTTACCGCAATTTACACATATGACTGTTCACATATTCTTAAACACACGTAAACAGTATGTGCCTGTAAAAGCAGCAGCTTTCAAGTGTGTCAAGATGTTTCTTTTATTCTAGTAAAGGAGTTATTTTATTAACCATCATGATTTGCAGTGTGGACTATTAATGCTTCATAAAAAATTATTCCTATTAGCTGTAGGTTCAAAATAATGATCACATGGTTAATTGTCTAAACACTTTTTTAGATGTATATGGACCATTTTAAAACAAGATAAACTTGATTTACGTCTGCTTCTGACAGCTTAATCCTTTACTAGTAAGGTAGCACCTTTGCAAAAACACTAAGTTCTTAAATATAAAAGAGTTTCCTGTTCTCTTCTTTACTCCCCACATTATGTTTACTCTATGTATTGTGATTTTTTTGAGTACCTACTTTTGACTTCACAATAGAGCTTTTTAATGTAGAGGTAACAGATGATATCCTAATATTTTGTTCATCTTATAACTCAAAATATGAAAAGCTTATAACGCTGTGTAACCTACGATAAAGAAAATAATTTGACTATTTTAGCTGAAGGATTAAGAGACGCTAACTATATCTGTACAAAAAAGTTAATCTAAAACCTAAGATCAATACAAGGATTAATGCAGCTGCCATTATAGTACAGATGCTACATTGGTCTCTTGCGAAAAAGAGTTGAGCCAAAAGAAAAAGCTCTCCATTTACCAATCATTTAACACTTCTACCCCCACCAATTATGATGAAATCTGGATCATAACCAAAAGAACGAGATCCCAGATAAAAGCAGCTGAAATCATCTTTCTCAGCAGGGTGGCTGGGTACTCCATTAGAGGGTAAAGGGGTTGGCCATGCATGAGAGGGGTAATGTAGGGCTTCTCCTCCACATCAAGAGGAGTTTACTGATGTGGCTCGACATCCTTCTCAGATGCCCCCTGGAAACCCCAGAACATACTGGAGGGACTATGTCTTTCTTCTGGCTCTGGAAAACCTGGGGCTTCTGTCTGAGGAGAGGAAAGTCTGAGAATGTCTTCTGAAACTGCTGTCCCAGTGACCCGGTCCCTGATCATAGGAAGACGATGAATACGAGTAGAAGTACGACTGTATTTCAGAAAAAAAACATTTTCTGTTAGATTTATTCAGGATATTAGGTGTTATTAAGAGTTTTCTTTTAACATAAGTGCATATTTATATATTTGTTAAGAAAATATACCTTTTTATTTTTTTATATTTAAGAGCAGTAAATAACAAGGGGTTTTTTTACAAGTTAAAAACTTTACTCTTAATATTCTAAAAATTGTAAATGCTTATGTTTTAAATTAGACAAAGACGACAGTTTGACGTATTGAAGATCTGGGGAAACTGGACTGCAGTCGTTCAATGTGAGGATGATCATTTCTGCCATTATAGACTTGAGACTTGACATGGACTTGGGTTCAAAGACTTGCAGATCAACTTGGACTTGGGGAAATAAATATTTAATACCATCTATGTTCTCCTGAGATATAATCCCCTGTGTAATATCCAAACAATCATGAAATAGTTCTGCCTGACTTGACCTGAATAACTGACTGTGTTTAAAATATAAATATGGCACCAGCATGGTATTTAAAAACTTTGGACTGTTTTATCTGCAGTATCTGAATAAGAAGAAGGGTCCATTTGTTTCTATGAAAGCTAAAATAATGAATGACTGTACCATACAAACAACCACTGCATTGCAAGCTATTTAAACAATATTGTGGAGGAATTCACATGCTATTATTTGAATGTATTACTATCATTATTATTTAAAAACAAAACCATTTTGTAAATTTATTTTGCAAAAATTCATGTAATGGTGATTTTGCAAAAGTGAACTCTAAGTTAAAAGACACATTATGTATTTAAAGAAACAGCAGCATTGTGTATTTAATCTAGAAATCTTTAAAATGCCTGCACTCTTCAGAGTATCCAGCAAACATGAAAGCCAGCCACATGAAGTACTTAATGGTAGCTTTACATCACAACAAATGTTTGGTATTAAACGTTTAAACATGAAGTTAACGATGTTTGACGCTTCACATGATGTGCAACACATGATAGCAAACATATGTGATATTACCTCCAGAAACTGAACTAACACATCAGTTGAAAGCTCTGTGTGTTCTAGCAGCTGAAATGTGTAACACAGGTGTCTCTGTTATAGTTGTGTTTGCATGTGTATGATGTGAATCTCGGCCTTTAGTGCCTTTTAAAACAGAGGCTTTAAACATGTTGCCTGCTCAGCTTCGTGAGTGTTTTACAGTGATGCTTTTTCCTCTATGAATGGAAACATTTAAGCAAGAGTGTGTAAAATGTTTGCCAATATACCTCTAATAAACGAGACCAAGCAGAACAGCTGTCAAGTGACTTTTCTCTCTTATCAGCCACTGTTTTTTTTTCTTTGCAATCTTTTTGTTGGTCAGGGAGTGGTCTGGTAATGTGTTTAGGTGGATAAAAAAAAAAACTGTGGCAGAAAGTGCCAAAGAGAGTAAAGATCTAAAGTTTTGCATTAAAATATTGCAGCCCATGGAGCAGCTTCAAATTCATATACTGAAGGAGCTGTGGGTTTTATAGAAGTTTAAATGTCAGTATGCTTAAGTCTTTCCTGGAGCCATTCCATGATGTTACACAAAAAAAAAAAAACAATGAATTACGGCATCAGTGCAAAACCCCAAAGATGAAAAGAGAGACATCAGACTCTCCAATTTAAATGTGAGCTTATACGTATATAGAACATTATTTTCTTAGTTTTTTAGCTAGATTCAGAAAACCTGGAGAAAATGCTTTCTGTCTTTCAGACCTAATAGACTGGCACTCTACCCAGGAATTTTAATTGCAACACACCTCAAAATAAACTCTCATTGCATTTAAACTGTAAAATCACAGTCTATAATGTGTTATTTTTATTTTACTGTAAATTTTTACCTTATTTGAGATTTATTTAGGTTTGCAATATTGATCTATTCTTAAAAGCTACTCTAAATGGTTGAACCGTGGATATTGTAGTCTTGATGGTACAAACAGCACATACTGTATGGATGCTTGCCTATGTCACTTATTCAGGCTTTATTAGTGGTCCCATCTAAAAATATAAATGCAAGCCATTTATGCATATGCTGTTGTTTGTCACCTCTGCAGCACCATGTCAGGTCAGCTTAGAATCTATATGTATCTATAAAATCCCTCCATGCCTCAATATGGCTCAGCTAAGCTAGCAGCCACATCCTAAACACATGTCTATTAAACTCACATCCTCATCTCAATAATTAGCCCTGCCTGTCCTCAAAGAACTATGGAACAAGACTGTCTGTAATTCTAATTTTAAAAAAAATACAGTTTTGAAAGTATTTACGTCTAGGTTGTTAATATTGCTAGGGTTCTGAGCATCCAGATGTGGTGGCAATGCCTCTTCCCTTAAAAGCTGTGTTACCGTAAACCTCTGTGATAGCAAGATCCACAGAGGTTATCTAAGACATAACTGCAATGAGTAATGGACTACAAATTTCTGTTTTTTAAATATATTCAGCTTACATTTCTACCAAGGCCATTTCATCATCTACATTAATGAAGCAAAAATGAAATTCTGAATATTTGCTATCCAACTCTATTTCTCACACCTGCTGTTTGACCCAAAAAGCTATTTCTATACCTGGACAGTCGAGCTGCCTTATAAGGTAAGGAGATGTTTACGCAAACCCAGTGGTTTAAGTTGGCTGGTATGTAACAGTATGCAGAATCCCAACTTCTAAACTTACCGTAATCCCTCAGTTTACAGGGACTAGCATTTGTTATTTTACATGTTTTACATTTATTTTAAGAAGCTTCTTGTTGCTTTGTAGAGGATATCCACATGCAGAATCATGCTTTACTATTTTCTGCAACAGCAAGAAGCTCCAAACACTCATTTTGTTTCTCACTCTCCCTCTGATCACCCGAGTAGAAGTGGACAGGAGTTGGGACAGACTGAAGCTGTCGACCAAACTTTTAAGATACAGCTGAAAAAACTAGCGGAAAATAAAATAACATTAAAACTACTGAGCCGATGAGGTCTGTAATGTACAGAAGCATGCACGACAGTTGTACTGTGCCTTGCCTTGCCTTTAAAAAACAAAGAATGCTGTTAAAAGGTTATATTAATTTGTATTAGCATGTTAACTTTGACACCCCTAATATCAAGGTTTGTTTTCAATGTTCCTGTTGCCAAGCTGTTTTTAGATTCAGCAGGTCATGACTTTGTTAGAGCATGACCTCTATTGTAGCTTTTTTTAACTACTAAATTAAATACTGGGCTCGGTGGGGGGGACACCACAAGAGAGACTGAATAGGGACCAACGTTTTCTTGTGCAAATATTTTTGGGTTGTTTAGAATAATGTTCTTTAAACATTTTACTTTAAATATGTGATTATTGTGATTATTATAACTATGATTTTTAACAATCTATTTGTTTTACTATCTGTAGATTGACAGACAGATCTGTATAAAAATATTGTCCATGTTTCTGTTGCCTATTTGTATGGCAAAAATGGGAGTGCCAACACAAGTTTTGTTTTCCACCCAAAACACTGTGCAAATCTACGTTGATCCTATGCTAAGACAAGTTATAAAGCACAGTACTTGCTGCAAATTAAGAATGCTGTTGGCAATCATGACAACTTACTCAGAAAATATGAAACAGCACAGTTGTGTTAGGTTGACAAATCTCACTGGTGTTCTTTTAGTTGTGAAAGTACCTATTTGAATCCATTTACCAAAAATGTGTGTTTTTATAACAATTTATATGTTGTTATCAGTTGTAAAGCACCATATGTCAGCAATTGTTGACTCATCATAGTCAGTAAACAATCATGTAAATGATTGACGCTTGCTTATAGTGCTTAGCTCAGGTAAATTTAGTCAGTGCCAGCAAGGGACACTGTAGCGCTCTCTGGTTGGCTACTGATAATGGGCTGAAAACAAGCTCATGAAGGTAAACTGTGGTCATTAAAAATGTTGGTTTAAAACTATTTCTGTATCAATACTATAAAGAATAATATTAATTTCAATTCAATTTAATTTATTTATATAGGGCTAATTCACAACAAATGTCATCTCAAGCCACTTTACTGTTCTCCAGATCATACAATCAAATTGATTCAACATTTTCTATCAAAGAAAAACCAGTTGATCGCATCGACTTAATGAGTCGATATTATATTCAATATTAAAAGCTTTCCAGTGCAAAACTGTCTGATTAGAGTTTAGAAGTAGAAGTCTTTTCTAAGAATTGCCTTTTAGTGATTTTAAACTTACATTATAAGTTCTTATACTGTTTAACAATTTTAATAATAAAATGGTACATTAAAAGCTGAGTGAATTTAACCAAAACTTTAGGCTAGTCAGAGGTTATTTAAGGTTTAAGGTTATTTAGAATTCCCTTATGATCCCAGTATTTTAATTATGCTGGGATACTAAAATCAATTTTTCCAATCAAATGTTTTTACTTGAATATTATTTTACAGTTTGCAAAATGCAGCTGATAACTGCATAACTCAACAAATTGAGATATGCAGCTGCTATTTCTGCCTTTTAGAGGAGCAGCATCCTGAAAAACTGTTTATTAGAGACTTAAAGATATCACACCAAACAGAACCTACAGTATCGTTATTAATAAGGCTGGAACTTTAACACATTAATTTGGACTACTTAGAAAGATTTTAAAGTTAGGAGTTAAAAAAATCTATACAATTAATTGCATTTTTTTATATACATACAAAAGTGCAAACCTTTGTGCAAACCTTTGTACTCACTGTGTTTGTACTCACTGTGTTTGGTATATATATCTAAGCTGCAGCACAGGTGCATCCGCAGTCGCCATAGTATTACACAGTATATCCTAAAAGTGTTGGCTCTTGGGAAGGAACTAGGACTAGGAACATGGAATGTTTGTATGATAAGTGTTTTGAAGAGAGACATTGTACTAAATGCCGCACATTGACTAGCAATTGGTAAAGGAACAGTGTGTAATAATTACAGAGATTTGTTGACATAAATGTGATATATCATCCATAGGTATGTAATTTGTTATCACCTATGAACTAAAAAGTCTGAGTCTTTATGTTTGCCTTGCCTTAGAAATTGATATTTATAATTACATAGGGGTGGGTTCACATTTGTGGAGGCAGACATCTTTGCGCTGTGGCAGCACAGAGCTGACAAATTAGTGACTGTAGAGAACACCATTCTGCTTCAATGGGACTGTGGCTAGTTAGGTTTATACATATTCCTACACAGACTAATAAAATACTATTTATAAGATGATCTGCACAGGCCACAACTGTCAACCACCAGGTTATCATGAAGACGACCGATTTGTGTTTTTGTTTTTTGTTCTGAGTGGATTTGCATGTTTCTCCTGCCATTGGTCCATGTTTGTTTTGGACCAAAACATGGGGGCAAATCATCTGGGCAAGAGAGGTAAGGGGAGAAGGTGTTGGTGGAGATGGTGTTCCTGAGCTCAGGCAGGAGCAGCAGAAATCAGTGCGAGAACAGCAGGAGAAGGAGAGCTCCAGAAGTGGGCCAGCAATGCAGCCCTCTGTGGCTAAGGAACCACAGTGATAGAGGGGGCAGCTTGTCAGTGCTAGCTCTAATTGAGAGCTGAAGAGCACAGTGTAAGCTCGGAGAGGCCTGCTGGGAAACAGTGCTGATGGACCAGAAGAGGCTACAGCTGGCCCAGGCTAAGTAGAGGATAACAGTGAAAGATCGAAGCAGAACGGCAGAGGAGAGGATTAGTCCACCGACAAGGCTGGCATCTAGAGGGTAAGTACTGGAGATGGACAGAGGACCGCTGAGGATCAGAGGAACCCACAGCCAGAATGAGGATGAGAGAAGTCATCGGTGGGTCTGTTTCAGTGCTGGAGGCAGGACCGAAATTAAAACAGCTTTTTTTAAAGCCACCCACAAACCTCTTGAGAGTATTCCCTGCTTCATCGTTTGTCAATGTTATTTCCTCTGTCTGCTATTTTGATTTCAAAAAGCTCAAACAAAAAATCTTCGAAACTTTGAGGCAAAATGGTAACCGGTTTATATACAACAAAAAATCTGAAATTTAAACATAAATCTGGGCCCAAAAAGAAGACAATGTCATTAAAACTCTATTTAACATAACCAGCTAAAGTATTAATTGACCTAACAAACTGACACACAAGGGGAACATATATGTGGGCTGATCAGGACATTTTGACACAAGAGGGAACATTATATACCTTTACCTAAACAAATCTAGAAAAAAAAGACCAAACTAATAAATACAATATAAAATCATCAACCTATAAAAAAAATTAACTCTTCCCACAGCTCCAGTGCC